ATAAAAATGATGGAAGTCACAATAAAAAATATTTAATAAATGTATTTAAATTATTATTTAATATAACTATATTTAAGTAAATAATTTAGAACTATTTTTAAACATACTTCATTAATTAAAAAATATTATTATTATTTTTAGAGATGCTAGTCAAGTAAAACAAAAAACATTTTACCTGGAATAAACATATAACCCACAAAATTTAACACATTCCCTGCAAAAAATAAAATAAAAACATGTCTCACCGATGAAAACTCTCATCATTAGTGAATTTCACCATTAATACATGACAGCCATCCATGGTGGGCAAATAGACAACAGTATAACTGCCATCCCCACTGTCTGTCACCTCCAGAAGCTCTATGGAACCTACAGTGCAAACATTCAAAGCTTCTCAAAAATGATTTTCCCAATGCTTGCAAGCTTAATCATTTTACTTTGTGCTCACCATCAGGTCTCACCACAGCAACAGTCCCTGGTGTTTCTCCACTGCTACTGCAGTCAATCGTAAAACTTTGGGGGGTTCTACCACAGACTCCACCTTTAATACCAGGAATAATAACCTTTGCCATATTCCCACCACGAGATGAGGGAAGCTCTGTATTACGGTCACAATTAGGCAGTACTTGGAACTGGATGGGACTACAATTAAAAGAGTAGAGAGAATATAGGTGTTCAGATAATTGTCATATAACATTGTTTTACATTGAAAAAAATATAGTCTAACCTGCTGCTTCCACAAGGTCTCTGAGGATCTATGAAGGAATCTGTGTCTTCCATTGATGGAGGTGGACTTGATCTGTAAATCTCATCTCCACTGTATTTGATCTCTGGCACTTCAGTACCTGTGCCAAATATGTAGACATGAGTTCTTGTGTTGGACACATTTAATCTCAAGAAAAAAAAAAAATACAAATACTTACCATGAGTATCAGTATTTGAAGATACACAAATCCCTGACTGCAGACAGACTCCAGAGTCTGCAGTACTTGAAACATCCTTCACTGATGCAATAAATGGACTTCCTGTTGAATTTAGACAGCATTTGTGTAAAACATCGGTTTCATTTAAGTGTGTGTGTGTGTGCGCGTGTATATGTGTGTATATATGTATGTGTGTATATATGTTAAAAAAATGTTAGCAGCAATGCAATCATCATGGTGAGAAAAAAGTGGGTAACAAATGTCATACAATCAACAAAACTATATATAATATTTAGGATTAATTCAAGACAAAATTCTAAGTTGGATTAATTCTGATAGCCATGTTGGCAGTGCGCCGACATACAGCGCCGTTGTGCTACGGGCATCCTGAGTTTGAATCCTAACTTGAGGACCTTTTCTGAACCCGTCCCCCCATCTCTCTCCCACTTCGCTTCCTGTCAGCTCTGATCTTTCCAATCATTATAAAGGCGAAAATGCCAAAAATAAATCTTATGAAAAAAGGAAAAATTCTAAAATACATTCAGGAGATAAATTTAAATTAAATTAATTTTTTTAATTCACCAGTTAAACAAATCTCTCAATAAAAATAGTCTATTTACAATAAAAACAGTGCAGTACTGTAAAATATTAACGACCTAATGACCTAAATAGCACCTAGTAAAAGCAACTTGATCATACCTAGAATTGAAATTATACCTTCTTGTGCTAGGAATTATTTCATATAATAGAAGTAAATAAAATAGAGGAAAATAGCAATTGTTTCTCGTGAATGTAAAGCTGACCTGGAATGTGATTCTCTCCACAGGTAATGGTGATCTTATAGTCACCAGGCACTGAAGGATAATATTCCACATTATACATGCCTTCACCGCTGTCTTTACATGTCACCTGACACTCAGACGGACCCTCCACTGTTATGTCCAGATCATCAACTGAAGATCTGCTGAGAAAGAGAAACATTATGGATCAAATGGGGTTGCCAGTCGTTTTTGGCTCTGAATGCATATTTGAAATGAACTTCCTCTTACCTGGCGTTTACACGAAACACATTAGGATGTCCAGTGAGGCCCTTTTGGAGACCCAAACCATTTGCAACAACTTGACATGTGTCAGTTTCCCAATCACTAACCACAACGCCTGAAACAACAGAACGGATGAGAAGACAAAGTCAAGAAAACAAATATAATCCGAATTCAAACCAACGGCAACTTGACAAACCTATAGGGGTCTTTTTTTTTACCTTGTCTGCTCACTTTTACATGGCTTTTGTAGACCTTTGGATTCACCATAACTTTACGAAAGGGCACCTCCTTTCCTCCATATTTCAGAAGCAGCGTATATACGCCTGCAGTTAGAGGCACATAAACAGCTGTGTAGGTGCCGTCTTCATTCTCCTTCACTTCAGTTTGGACAATGACTCCTGAGTCAGAGACAGCCTGCACAGATGGAGCTCCAGATCCTGCCATTGGACAGTTTATATTTACAATGCAAGGTTCACCGACTTTCCCCTGTAGCAGATCAAGATCTGTTACCAAAACCTTAGAGGGGTCAATCGGCTTCTGTATAACAGACTGGAATGGAGAGCCAGTTATGTGAGAGTTGTCAAAAAGGACATTTATTTTGTACATCCCATGCTCTGTGGGAAGGTAAAACACTGTACAAGTGCCATCTTGATTGTCCAGACATTGTAGAGTAACTTCACAGGGTCCATCCACTCTTATGGCAAGTCTTCCACTGCCTGCTCTGCTTGTGTCAATGATAAACTCCGCCTGTTCTCCAAGAAAACCTTCTTTTAGGCCTGGACCATGAGCCCTTACCTGAAGAACAAACAACATCTGATACTACACTGTTCAAGTGCTTCAAGTGAATGCATAAAATGTGTAAGACTCAATACCTTAGTGGCATCGGCTTGGATGTTTGATGGGCTGACTATGTTCATAACAAGTTCTCCATGGCCACCAGGCCGTACGTTCTCTGGAAAGTCTTCATCAAGGTCCATCTCGTCATCTACACACAATCACATATATTAAAATCATTAATCATGTTGTTCAAAACCATATGACTGAATTGTCCAAACTCACATTTTATCATCTCGATTGGTAAATGAGTAAAGAAAAGTATTTGGCAAAAAGATAAAGAAAAACAAATGGAATAAGTTTTTTAATGCAATGTAAATGTATATTGTTATCAATGTATTCTTGTTACTTTGACCTACGTTTTTAGACATGCATAAAATAAAAGAGTTGTAGATGTGTCTATTTTTTTAATCTATTATTTTTAACAATTTGAAATCTAATTCAGTTTTTATTCAGAAACTGATTGTTCCATACACTAAGCTATGTGAAGATTCTTCAAAACCTTTCCTTTTGCATTCCACCATACAGATCTGGAATTTTTAGAAAAACTGTTCCTTTAAATTTACCAGAGTAATACATTTCCGATCCATCTGGTTTAAACAAGACTGGGCTACATGGTGTAATCTTAATCCTGCGAGGTGTCACCTGAAACAGCAATGACGCAGAGATCATACAAAATCTTACAGTGCAGCAATCACAGGCTTCCAAAGAACTGAAGATTACAGCTATATATTTCAGTGCTCATTGTCTCATTTTTTTAATACATGTTTTTTCACATGTGATTTCAATAAGCATAGTTTCAATTCCCTCTTGACAGAGGGAATGCCAGTACAAATAGAGTAATAAACATCCTATTACATTCCTGTGAGCTCTGGCTGCAGCATTAAGCAGCAGTACATCATCACCAGACAGGTTTAAAGCCACTGCGAGATGAAATGGAATTTCAATAAGGCAACAGATGCTGGAACATTAATGCAACATGATGCAAACCAAATTGGGGAAAATGAGTTTTCTTTAACTTCATTAGACCATGTAAATGAAATGCATCAGAATGAGCTTTAGTTGTTGTTGTTGTTGTACATCACATTCTCATAGCTTTACATTATCCCTTCATATTATACGATCATGTTTACCACTATTTTCCAAGATCAATATATGCACTCACAATGAAAGGACTGCCGGGAACCATGACTCCTTCCCAAGCCACAGCAATGGTGTGTTTCGAGAGAGATGAAGGGATGTAGGAGCAGACAAAGACACCAGATTGTTCAGAAGCAACAATAACATCTACAAACTCTCCATCTGCTCTCTGTGAAGAAGTCAAATCACTCTGAAAATTAAAATAGCTTTTAATTTAAATGGGAAGAAAATTCATAAATATTTTACTGCATTTAATACCCGAGCATAAACTTTAAGTTCTCCTTCACCAGCTCGCCTGGTATCTACTGTGAATTCGGTTTGAAGGTTCAATATGCAGCCAGTTTGGGAAACACCTTGTCCTTCTACTTTCACCTGAAACCCAACATGCATAACTAATGATATAATTTCACATCTAATGAAAACATCTCATTCATATAAAATGGATCTCTCTGAGAAGAGCAAGGGCTCTCACACTAGACACATGTCTGCAAAACAGATTAAAGGGATAGTCCACCCAAAAATGAAAATTCTGTCATTAATTGCTCACCCTCATGTCGTTCCAAACCTGTAAGACCTTCGTTTATCTTCGGAACACAAATTAAGATATTTTTGATGAAATCCGAGAGCTTTCTTGCATAGACAGCAACACAACTGACACGTTCAAGGCCTAGAAAGGTAGTAAGGACATTGTTAAACTAGTCCATGTGACATCAGTGGTTCCACTGTAATTTTATGAAGCTACGAAAATACTTTTTGTGCGCAACGATATTTTAACAATGTCCTTACTACTTTTGAGCCTTGAACGTGGTAGCTGTGTTGCTGTCTATGTAGGGTCAGAAAGCTCTCGGATTTCATCAAAAATATCTTAATTTGCTTTCCAAAGATGAACGAAGG